AGGAGGATGCTGTGCTGCCCCAGGAGGGTGCAGTGCTGCCCCAGGAGGGTGTAGTGCTGCCCCAGGAGGATGTAGTGCTGCCCCAGGAGGGTACAGTGCTGCCCCAGGAGGATGCTGTGCTGCCCCAGGAGGATGCTGTGCTAGGGCAAAGTGCTGCCAGGCCCCCGATCACTGCTGCATGCCCTCCTGTTCCTGGGGTACAGCTGTGTGTTTTCACCACTGCTGTACCACTTGAAGGTCCCTGGCTCAGGCCAGTTTGTGTGAGACGCCATAAAAACACATCAAAAGATAATTATTGCTCTTTGTGCTAAGCAGAAGGAGAGGGGACATGCAGGAGTGTTGTACAGTGATCAAGAGCTCTGTCAAAACCTGACCAGGGTTTGCTGGAGTGCCTCAGCTGCTGTGCGAGGGGTCAGGCTGGCTGTGGGCTGCAGGTGAGCCTGGCTGCTCCGTCTCCTTCCTTCCCCACTTGCTCAGCTGCTGACATGTTCTTGCAGCCTCAGCCAGGGCAGGAGGCAGGACTGCAGGGACAAGAGTTCTTGGGCATAGTTATTTGGTCACATCAAATCTGAAATGAAAGAACATTAACAGGATGCTATTTTGTTTGGCTAAGAGATTTTTTTAGACTCCAACCAGTCTGACAGCAATTGGGGCATTTTTATCATCTTGAAACCTTGCCAGCTTCAGCTGCACTAAAGCATCTCCTCCTCAGTCTCTGTGGGGACAGCCTCTCTGCCTATCTGGGGCTGCCCTGCCTCCCTCCTGCCCTGTCTGGGCATCATCCTGCCCTGGAGAATGCAGTGCTGACAGCCAGGGAGGCACTGCAGGGAGTGGAGTTGAGTTGCCCTGAGAAGGGACTTACCTGAGGGCTAACCAGAGCAGAGCTCATGTGAGCCTGGCACTCCTGCCATTCATGCCAGGACACCTTGTCCTGGCTCTGGGCACTGCAGTGAGCCAAGCTGCTTTAACAGCTTGGGTTTTGGTTTGAGGCTGCCTCTCTGTGTGCCTGGTGCAGGCAAGGAGGGAAGAAAAAAGCCGAGATGATGAAATCCACATAGGATGGCAGTTGTGGAAAACAGAGCACCCTCAAGTGAAGCTTATCACTCCCTGCAAGATGCTCCTGTATCCAGTGCAGATCTTAATGACTGGGGGACACTGGTGATGCACATAAAGTACACCAGAAAGAATCTAGACCTTTATTGGTGCCCATGATGCTCCCAGTGCCTCCTTCCCCAGAAGCAGCCCCTCTAAGCTTCACATGATCCAGAAAATGATCCTTGCCCTGCCAGGAGAAATCCAGTAAGAAATGCCTTAAGCTGAACCCAAGTAGCTCCCATTTTCCTCAGGTCACTCTCAGTGACCACAGGTGAGCCACAGGCACATGGGATTTGCCATGAGGCAGCTGGCTTCCCCTCCTCATCCCTCTGCAGCTTGCCAGGAGAGTGCCAGCCAGGATGGACACCACCAAACTACATGTTTCCAGAGGAGTGCGAGAGCCCTGACAGGGTATAAGATATCCTGAGCACCACAGAGTCCAGAGTATTCCTGACTCAGACTCTCAGGAGGGAATGTGGCCTTCTCTGCCTCAGTCCAGGGAGTTGCTGTGCCTCAACGGAGGAGTGATGCCAGCTATGCCCTACCTAAGGAGCTCTCCAGCCCTGTCAGCGGGGAAGGCCCCATGCAGGCCCCCTCGTATAGGAGGAATGGGAGTGATGCAATGTGGGCAGGGGTTTGCTTTTTCTTTCCTTGCCAGTCAGGCTGGTGCCAGGCAGCATCCCTGTCACTGCTGGTTCTTCTGCAAGGCAGGGGAGTGGGAGGAGTCCTCCCTCACTCCATCCCTTGCTCAGGTTTCTGCAGCAACCTTGGGGCACTTGGAGCCTGCAACAAACTCTGAAGGGCAAGTACTGGGGAAGTGGCAGCTTGCTCAGGACCTGACAGGCTGCTTGGATGTGCATGGCTCTCCCAGATCCTCACCCCAGAAAGCTGACACTGTTTGTCTGTGGAAGCTGCTTTCCTGGAAGCAGGAGACCGAGCCGTGTTTCCTTGCACATCCATCATGTGTCGTCGCCGCCGTGTGAGCAGGGGTTGTGTGTCCGGTTATGGCGCAGACATCAACTTCCCTACCCCAGTCCGACACCTGAGGAGAGAGTTCTTGCCTTTTGCTAGCTCGTAAAATGGGGAGCAAAGTGCTGAGCCACAAACAAGTGCTCCCAGGTGGAATCTAATGCCGTTGCTGGGATGTCTGTGTAGTTACAGCCTGAGCACACTGAGTTTGTCAGCTCTGATGTCTGCATTGTTCTCCACAGACAGACTCAAGCATGTCTTCTTCCTGCCCTCGGGAGGGATGCAGCTGCATAAACAGAGGGCGAACACATTAAGTGCTCTCAGTAGCATTTGACATCTTTATAGGTATCTCTGCCTAAGACAGTTTTGGTTTTGTCTCTAAATGCCAGCACAAAAGATAGTGTTTTTCTTCCCCTCATGTTTGTCATCCTGTGATAGATGGAGAGGCCAGAAGAGACCAGTGTAGTCCCCAAGAGGGGCCTCCTGCAAGCACATGCCACAGGGAGCTGGGGGAAGGGATTTTGACCTTTTTTCAGTAATACTTTGTGGTTGAGTTTTTTTCTTTAGTAAGACTGTTCTTTACCTTTCCTCTCTCATGTCATCTCTCAGCACTGCTCAACTTGCTGTGCCCACTGCCATGTCTTGGTGCTGCCAAACCCTCTGTGCGCTGCTCTTGAGCAGAGCAGAGGCACTCCCCAGACAGGTGGGCACTGCACCCACACCTTGCTGCCCATTCCCTCAGTCTCCATGTCCATCCCTCTCCTCCCTCACGGCCCCACCAGGTCTCTCAGCTCTCTAAAGCACACCAGCTCAGAGCAGCCTTCTCTAGACATTGACCTTTGGCTTCCCCAGGCAGCAACTCCCTGGCGAAGTGACAGCTGTTTGCTGAGGGGGAGACACTACCACCATCAGAGCCTCCTAGGGAAGCTCCTCTGCCTCTGCTCTTGTTCCCATGTTGGTTTTTGGCTATGCTTCCCAAGGGCTGCCCAGCCTAGTGCTATGTGTGTGTTCCTCACTTGCCAGAGCAAGGACAGCAGACAGCACTTGCCTTACAGCTCCAGATCCATTCTGAGTAGGAATCCTAGTAGGAAGGAAGTTGGCCTCTCTTCAGTGGAGATCATAGATGATGGCCAAATGATACTTTCACACAGTGGAAAGCTTTACAAATGGTGGACATGTTCCCTTGGGGACCATGAGACCAGCCTGGGGTTGAATGCAGCATTTTGGAAGTATTCTCTGAGCTAACGCAGCTGTGCTGAGGTTTGGTGGAGCTCCTCTGTCTAATGGGCAAGAAAGGGCTGGGCACAGCACAAGGCCAAGGCCTGAAGAGTCTGGGAGTGGAAGCTGTGCTGGTCTGCAGCGTTGGGGCATGCTGCTGGTCAGGGCTGCTGTGCCCAGCCCATGAACTGGGCCCTTTCCTCCACTTCCCCTGGTTCCGCCAGAGTCAGGGACTTGTTTCAGAGTGCTGTTTCCCAGGTTCCCTTTGCAATAACAGAGCATCTCAAAATCCTCCACAGAGAAATCTACTTTTCCTGGGAATATCCTGTTCCCCCAGAGGAGGAAGGGGAGTGTGCCTTCTGTCATACTGCCCATCCCCTGCTCACTCACCTTTCCCATTGCTCAGCATCCTGGACTGGGGGGAGCAGGGGTTTGGTCTTACTGTGCCAGGAAGACATGCTGGAAGGGGAGCAGGGAATGTGTGACGAGAAGGTGGCTGTGAGAGTATCTCTGCCTTTTCTGAGTCTGGTTTGCCTTGTTGTGGGCTTACACCTCTCAAGGCCCAGTGTAAGCAATGCCAGTATTATGTTCTCCAGATGGGGCAAGAAACACCATCAGGATCCGTAATATAGGTTTGTTTCCTTCGTGTGCCACTGGCCTTGGGGTAGGGTGTGCAAACATATGTGCAGAGCTGCCCTTGGAGCCGTGCAGACCTGGCCCTGTGAGTCACATCCTGCCCCCAGCACGGGCACTGCAGGCAGGGCAGCAGCGACACACATCCCTGTCCCCTCCTGCTGCCAAAGCACCAGGAAAACGAGTGCTGGAAAGGGCAGAGCTGAGGTGCAGGGCCTTTTCTCTAGGCCTCTGGGAGGGAAAAGCAAACAATGGAGCTCTGGAGCCTGAGAAATGCTGCCGGATACGCTGCTAGAGCTGGGTGCGGGCTGGGAAAACCAGTGCTGGGTTGGGGTGTTTATGCTGGAGCTGCTTGAAAGCATTCCTTGCAGGACCAGTCCCAGGGGGCTCAGCAGGGTCTCTGCTGCTGGTGGTTGTAGAACTCGGCCGAGAGGCTACGTTGGGACACTCCTCCACCATTGGCTTTGATTTCCGTAAGGTCTTTCACTGTTTAGAAGGGCAAGGCTGAACCTTTCTTCGTGCTGGGATGTAGGGAAGTCCCTGTTCTCCTCTGCTTGGTCTTTTCCACAGTCTGGGAGTGGGCTGGATGGGGTTGAAGCAAGCTGTATCCAGATGTGGTCCCAAGAGATTGTTCATGGCTGTGGAAATGGTCCTCTCAAAAGAGCCTTGTCTACTCAGTGATGGTGTCTCTTTCCTCTCATTTCCAGCAGCCAGAGAGGCTGGAAATGGCATGATGTGTCCGAGATGAGACGAGGTGTGGTATGGCACACATTTAGATGTTTCTCTTCTCCATCATGTTCACTTACAAACCGCCTGGTGAGGGCCATGGTTGGCCCTCAGTGACACAGTGTGGCACAGCCTCCCTGTCTCCTCTGGCCCTGTGAGATACCATTCCCACCCTCCCGCACTGGATATCCCAGTGGAACCCTGCAAAGACACTGCTGTGGCACAAGTGGCCTCAGTCCTGAGTGCAGAGCTCCTGGGTGCACAAGAGAGCCATGTGGGTTCTCCTCTGGGGAAAGAGCCAGCCCTGCACAGGCAGAGGTGCAGCCAGAGGGTGGGTGAGGCCTTTGGACCCTGGCAGGGAGTCAGCCACTGTACCCGTGGCAGGGCAGTGCCAGCCTCACCCACACCTATCCCAGTGCTGCTGTGCCAAGGTGGGACTTACATGGACACGGTGCCATTGGAGACCATGTTTCACCAAAAATATGGTAAGCAGTGGATGGGCATATTACCCCCTTAGGAGAGCAGTGATTGAGAGCAGATATGGGACATTGGGATTGGGTGGAGGGTGTGGGACTGGGAACTGGGGGGGAGTAGGTGCAATAGGACACCCACAGTGCTGGGGGCTGCTACTGTGGGGCAGATGTGTGCTGGTGGGGTGAGGTTTGGGGAGAGCAGGGTGTGTGCAGATGACCCAAGGGGATAGCCATGGGGGGAGGACAGGCAGAGCACCCTGGGGAAGCCGTGATGGAGGAGGGGTCTGGGACCTGGCAGGTGAAGGGGCTCTGGAGAGCAGGAGCAGCAGACAAGGTGGTCAGGGTGTCTAGATGTCTTAGGGCTTGTCAGCGAAGGCACAAGAGGGACTAAGATCGGTGGGAGGCAGCTCTGGGCTCACGGCAGGGGTGGGTCTGTCTGCCAGGGCAGGGACCATGGAAGACAGGTCAGCAGGACAGGTCAGCAGTGCAGGGTGGGGAGAAAGGCCAAGGTTCAAACAGAGCAAAATGGTTGTGACTGTGTTAGGGGAACATCCCCTCTTGCAGATGGGGCACATGCAGCACGCGCTCAGGTCGTACCTGGTGGTGGCTGCTAGCAGGTACATGGAGGTAGGGCACAAAATTGGGCCAGGTTCAGGGGCACCTTCCTGGGACAGTGGTGCCTTGGAAAATCTGGAAGCTCAGGCTGGTTTAATAGCCTTTCTGTTTCCCTTTTCTTCAGAGCTCACAAACAGACTGGCTGTGGCCACAGCCTGACAGCAGGTTATGGTTACACTGCAGGATGTACCCTTCGAACTGGGGTGTTGCGTTGGGCACGCTGGGTTGTGGTGGGTCCTGAATACCTCCACAGCTCAGAGGATACTCCCAGCAGAGGAGTGTTTCACAGGAGGGTTTCACAGCCATGAGTGCTGAGCAGGGCCAGGGGAACCAGATCTGAGGGCATCTGGGCAGGATTGGGAGGAGGCTTGGCAGGTTGTGTGGGAAGGTAACACACATCCTGTGGGCTGAGGACAGATGCCCCCATACACCTCCCATCGACCTCAGGTTTTGCTGCAAAACAAACACACATCTAGAAACTTAGATCAAAAACCAGTGTGGTCTGGAAGGATTGTCATCTTAGTTGGACAATCCAAAGGCAGTTACTTGGGATTGTTTTCCAGCCTACTGCTTGAGTGGACCAGAATAGCTTGCTGGTCTTCAGCTGGTCATCTGGGTGCCATGCTAGCTGCTGAGCCCTGGGAAGCATAGGTTGTGTCCTATCTCAGTGCTGCTGATACCAGACAGGTTATAGTACCATGAACTCATTTCATCTTGTTCTGCTGTTCGTGACTCAGAAGTTTGTCATGTGTATAACAATGTTAGTTTCTGTTTTGGGAAGAGGAATCTGGGTATCTCCAGGGAAAAATAACATGCTGATATAACTGGTTGGGGAATCTTCAGGCACTTTGAGACTAACAATCTGGTGCTTGGGTAAACATAGAGGGTACTTCAGTTAATATAATTCTTAAATAATTGTCTGTATTTGTATCTTGCTTCT